TAATTAACTTGTGATATTTTTTGTTTTGTTTTGTTTTTTGTTTGCTTGTTTGTTTGTGTGTTGTTGTTGTTTTTTTTTTTGGCATTAATTACTAAGTTGCAAGAGTGTTGTGAATCAGATAATTAACGTACTGTAGTCCTGATGTACCTTAGCTATAATGACCCATTCGCTTAGCGTTCTTCTTAAAAGAACAGACAACGCTTGGCAACCGATAGCAGCAATAACTCAGGGTGGCCTTGTTTGTTCTATTTTGTTCTGCCATGTTACAATGGGAAACAGATTACATAACAATGAGGAGTAAACCACGAACAATTGTCAAATAGTCTTTATTCTTTAGAGTGCAGCTATTATAATTCTTGTCTTTTATGAGGTTTTGAGTGGCTTATCTTTTCAAAATTGAAGAAATATTTTTTCTTTCATAAGCAACTGTTGTTGGGCGTTGTTATTTCTTCTTACACATTGTATTTTCCTTGCAGTGAGCAAGAAAGACGAAGCCAGTTCTGGCTTGACGGATAAGCAGTTAACTCTTAATAAACCGATCTTTAGAGTAATATTCGTACACCTTGAGCATACTGAGATATTTTCGTAGCCTGTGAGTAAGTAATTTTCTAGGTTTAGAATCTAAGGGCTTCTGTCGTAGTTTCGTTTCGCCCCTTGTGTTCTTTTTTTTCAAGTAAACATCAAATTACATCTTTTTGCCAAATTTTAGCACACGAAAATAATTCAAGATTAGTGTTTGTAGAGTAACCACTCAACTGTGCGGTGTGTGGTGAAGTTTGAGTTTTAACGAGCAAGCTACTGTATGTTGCATTCCACTTCATTCATAACTTTAGTTCTCGCAAATCATTGTCTTTTTCATGTCTTAAACTTAATGTTTTATCTAGCGATATAAGTGTTTTAAATCTTGTGGGTCGATTAAAATCTTACATAGTTAATTTTCATTGGCAGTCCAGGCCACTAAAATTGTGGTCGTAAAAATTTTGAGATAAAAGTAGCTTGAACTGATGATATAATGTTAAAGGAATAATTCCACAACAAGATAAGGTCTAGTTTTAACGATAGCAATACAGAAATAGCTTATTATAGCATTCATTTAATGAGTGTCCTAGGTATTATTTATTCAACTAGTCGCTAGGTGGTAATCATAATTTAGAAGGGCACACGACATAATTTTTTTTCATGTACGTAACAGTTAGATTATGAAAGCTCTCCATTTCTAAAGTGTGATATTTGATGAAGGAGAGGTCCAAATCCATTATCGTGCATAGTAAACGATATTGTTTTGGTATCAATGTACCAGTGGTTCAAACCTTGAGAACAAGTCAAGCTTATGTTTTCTTTGTAATTTGTTTGCATTCGCGCACCAAAAGGCTTCGAACTGTACTCACTATCTGTATATCATTGAACAGATAGCAAGTATTGTAACCGATCAGATTGCAACATTTGCGATGAAACAGCAATAGATTTATACTAAAATGTTCAAAGTCGTAACCCTTTTTTAGCTGTATAGTATTTGTGCATCGGCACGATAACATTTGTGTTAGTTAAAACATAATCATAATTATGATCATATAATTATATTATTCATTGTTAGCAGTTTTCTCGGTGGATGATTTTTAATCCTAAGAGGAAATTATTAAGAAACTTACTGGTCGACGATTAAACATCTTTACAGCGTGGTGTGTTATCAAAAAATATATCAGAACTATTATTAATTCGTTAGACATCGAAGTAAGTATATTCAGCTGATTTTGTATCTTTAAACTTGAGATTCGTCAATTAATTAAAGCAGTTTAAATGCATCTTTTTATGTTTATTTGTTGAGGGTTTTAGCATAGATGCTGTACCTTTTAAATGTGACCTGTGGGTCTGTAATTGTTGTTAAGCTCAGCGGTGGCTATTGACTTCGTTTTTTTGGTTATTATTTTGCATGCCTGTTTTCTTTGCAGAGCATGAGTTAACCCTTGGACCCTAAGAGTGACAACCATGTAATTTCTCTTTGAAATATCACCTTTAACCACACAATAGAACACGAGAGGAAAGGAAAAGGAAGTGATTGGTGGTTAAAAAATTATCCTTTTCAGCACCATAGGTAATGTATAGAGCACAGCATAGAGACTATGCATACTGATGTTCGAGTATAAACGGTAACGTGTGAGGGGTTTTGAAAATATGTTCAACTTTTAAGGTGACATTTTGATAAAATGGAGTCTTTCATCGATCTTTTAGTTGCCTTTTTCAGATTTCAAAGGTTCCATATCTTGAGATTGTTTTTTCTACCCTTCATTTAAAAAATGGTACACACAGTTACCAAAAGCGATACTGCTACCATCTTTGGGGAACCGTTGAAAGGAATTTTTGAACGTAAATCTGTGGAGAAAGAGCCGTGTTAACTATTTAATTCCCAGAGTGGCTAGTATCCAATTTCCACTCACGATATCACCGTTGAATCACAAGGAGGCTGTGTGGTTAGGGCGCTGGTCTTGTGATCTGGTGGTTTCGGGCTCTAGCCCCCTGGCCCTCCATCCTGCCACTCACTGGATTTGTTCTCGGTTGCCCCAAGTTCAATTCCTTGGCTGCACTTTGTACACATGTACAGCCAACTGGCCTGCCTCCTTCCCGTTGGGGTTTTTTAAAATCAGCACGGTTTTCTTGTTTCCAATTTGTCCATATTGGCCCTTAAAAGAGGTCAATTAAGTATACTTACATACAAACGATCAGGGTCTCGAGAAGAAACAGAATGAGAGCCATTCAAAACGTTACGATTGTTTTAAAAAAGCAAAATATTTTTGTTAGTCACATAGGGAATGTGTAGGGAACAGTATAGAACATATACAGGTATGCAGGTTGACGTCAGGATGTTTAGGGTAACTGGATTTGACAGATCAAATAATTTCTACAATAGTACGTTCAACCATGTTTGGAGCTTTTTAAATCAGTGCGAATGTTAGTCGTGGTGAGGCCGCAAAGTGGAAAAGGAGGGGAGGGCAAAAAGTTATAACATGTAATTTGCACTAAAAAGAAATTAGCCTCCCTCCACTGGAATCTTGTTAACATTCCTGCAAATACTGTTGAATATTGTAATTGGAGGTGCTTTTGATCCAAGGCCAAAGCTTTTAGCAAAAACTACACGGCCAACTCTCTGCCAATGGCCAGCTCTCTGCAGCCATCTCATTATGTCAAGCCCTTTTGTAGATTTTATGTGTATTCTCGGTAGATTTTCTTTTGGTATGATTCTGTTTCTCTAATATTTGTTTCTTCGCAAAGATTGAAACGATTTGTGCACTACTTAAATTAGTCTTTGTCAGACTTTCTTAAATGGAGATATACGAAAACGAAGGCGGGCGAAAAATGGTGGGAATGGGGCCGTTTCCCAAGATGACCATCTAGCGTTGTTTGCCCGCCACCGACGAAGGGTTTAGAGGAGATTATAACCTTGCGACAGTTGTCTGGCAGTAAAGCTGACGTGTTGCAACATGCGATACCCTGCGCGAAATTGAGGGTGATCCTTTGGTATCGTCTACTGTTCAGGTCGCTTTGACAAAGTTGGATTGATTCAATGCCTTTTGCTGATTCTTCACCACCAGTCTTCCAGTAGGTAAAAGTCTCTTGATACATTGTTTACGACTTTACATAATAATGTATCTGTGTTTATGCTGAAGCGTCCTTTGTGTGAAAATCTTTGAGGCGCGGTTGTCGTAAAGGAGGTTGAGATTTCTTTCCCTTGGCCTAGATCCTTTGTCCATATCGATAACTTTAAATAGATAAAACAAAAACCTAGTTCATTACTTCATGTCAGTCCTCGTCAGAACTACATGCCTTCTTCTTTCGGTTAAATTACCTAACGTGTCTCAACACTTTTTTTCTATCAAGATAATCTGTTTTAACGGGATATGGAAACGTATGTGTAAAGCGTAACTAGGAGAAGAAAAAGCCAATTACACTTTGTTGGATGGTTCAGAACGATAACTAAAAGTTGTCTAAATACAACTACCTTTTCCATCAATGATAACACCGGCTGGAATGATATAGGAGTTATATGCCATCCTGGCGATAACATTGTGATATATGATAGAAATAATTAAAAGACGCTATTTAATATCAGTAGAAGTGATGAGGCCACCCTGATAGTTTAAAAAGTGACTGAAGATGAACAAACGATTTTCCAGTGCTAGCTCTCCACGCTAAGAAACTCTTGGACCTACAGGATTTTCCTGAACTTTACAAGTAGGTATCAATTAGATGGAACGCATCTTTTCATAGCGGTTTATTTTGGTTTCCTATGATTTGGACACACTTTTTAACTTTTTCCGGGCTTTTATTTTGTTAACACAGAGGAAAACGTGTGCGGACGAAAAGTAGCGGAGATTTAGCCCTTTCCCATGGAAACCACCAAGCATCGTTCACAAGCCACCGACCCAGCACCTTTGACAGGCTACGCGCGCCTACTCGCTTGACGCTGACGGTTGCCTGGCAGCTAAGCTGTTGTGAAAGTATAATGTGATACGTTCCACGCCATTGAAAGTGATCTGTCGTCTTGTATGCGTTTGTCGTAGAACATGGCCTCGGTTAACATAACTTCGGCTCTTAACAAAATTGGATTAACAAGGTTTGGTGGAATATTTCTCTGGCTGATTCTTCATCGACAGTTTGTCGGTAAGCTTAAGGCTTTCAATGCTTTGTTTATCACTTACATGGTTTTCGTATCTGTAAGTTTTTGTGATGTAGCTTTGATATCAGCGGGGATCATGCTCCAAACAAGGTCGTGAGCGTATGGCTGTTGAGACGGTGTAAAGCATATAATTCTCATCTTGTGTACTTGATTCATACATAAGATCGTAAATATTCGTAGATCACATGCATTTGCGATTCATAGTTTTCGACTTATCATGGGGAGATAGATTCTGTCGAAGCACTGAGGATGTCTTAATGCAAGGTCCAATATATTTTGATAACAATTACATTCTTCAAAGCAGAAGAAAATTAGCTCACATTTAAGACGCTTTTTCCTTTAATCGTATGATCGTTGAGTCATAAAGGCTGGCTGGCTTTGTATTTATGTTATTGGATTTAACCCGTGAAAGTCATGTTTTTGTTTAGTCAAAATATAACACTGACTCACAAGGAGATAATCTGTTTTATTTAACGGAATAAGGAAACCGAGAAAACTTAAGCAAAGGGGCTAGGAGCCGTAGATTGATTTATTACTCTTAGTGATCAAGTTTACAAGTGCGTTTCAACTTGATCAATGATTCGAAATGACGACAATTTCGCCGAAACATTCCAGGTTCCTTTGTGCAAATTAGGATGCCATCTATGGATGTAGACATAAATAAGGGGAAGATAGGCGTAGAACTGTTATTATGTTTAAATTTTACGACCAAAATATGACACAATCCGCTGTCTGGAAAGATTGAAGCTCGAAAAGGAAAAACGAATATACACATTGGGTTGTTGAGTCTTGCGTGACTGATGTTATGTTACGCGTGATTGTTTGTCATGCTTTTAGCTTGAACACGATTATGGTTTCTGTGATCTGTCAATTTCCCTTTCTTCTATTGGGCGATTGTTATTGTGCCTAAGATGATATGTACTCTAAATCCATAGCATCGCTCGCGATTTTGAAAGATGAACTCCAATGTTTGCAAACGCTTTCACATTTGTTAATGTTTGTTTATACTGAGGTTCTGCTTAGAGTTAGTGTTAAATTGTTACCAAAAATAGAGGTAAGCTTTGTTGTCAACTGCAGCTTTTCCGTGCTCAGCACTGCAAATGCTAAATGAGCCTAACATGAGTTTTAGTTTTCTTTTACTATTTTTAACTTTTTTGATGTTACGCAGAAGAGAATTGACTACGTGACGTGCTTTCATTTAGCACTCGCCTAAGGGAGGCTTACAGGCGGAAATGGTTCATTGGCTTTTAAGAGATCGACAACAATGTGTTGATAACGGCTAAATATTATTGTTTGAGGTTTCCTGCGTAATTGGAGGTGTAAACTTAACAATTAATTCTTAGAATCATTGTGGTCAAACTGATAAGAGCTCCAGACAGGCACAAGGAACTGAATTGCCCTTTGTACTAAAAACCAAAAGAGAACATAAGCTGTCTCTACGAAAAGTTTTCCTTCTTTCGAATATTCAGAGCCTCAGTTCATTTTTCTATTGTTGTTATTTTATATTTTTTAACTCCTTGGACATCCCAAGGGCAAAAGACAAGAAAGGCTCTGGAATGCTCTTAATAACGCAAACATATTGCGAGGGCTTTTTCTGCCAGAAAATGGATTTATTTTAATTCATAGATATATTAATTTTTGCAACGTCACCCTCTAGGTATGCCTAATCAAGAAAAACCGGCTATTTAATTTCCCATTTATGAAAGGTTCTTTGTCGTTATTAAAGTGTTCTAGATCTTACTGATTGCCCCTCGATCGACACCTCTCGCAGTCTGAGATAATCGCACGCGATAAACGTCGAATAACTTGCCGTCGTGATTCTTGCCGTACCTCTTTAGTTTAATACAAGTTGAATACGATGTCTTCGCTTTCATTTGTAAAGCATAGTTTCAGTTATATCCAACTTGAAAGAAAAATGGAAGGAACAACATCCTCAACTTCTTATCACAAATCATTCTTCTCTCTACTAAAAATTCTAAAATTACTAAGCTATCGTTACAAACTAGAAAGCTGGTTTTTTCTTTTCCTTCTTCTCCTTTAAGGGCAAAATTGATCTTCTTGCTAATGAATGTTTTCCTACGTGTTTTATTCTTTAAGCCCTGCCCGTCTTGAAACGTTCTTTCAGTGACGGCTTCATATTTTCCTTCACTCTTACGATAATTTTCACCTTAAATTTGTGAATTTTTTATTATTGAAATTGAAAAACAATTGCTGGACTGACAAGAACATCTCTTATTGGGGGGAAGGGGTGGGGGCTTTTGGTAAGAAGTCATATTGTATAAAGTTCTCAAAATGGTGGATAAAATTTTGGGCGTGCAGTGATATTACGTAATATCTTAAAAGTGGCTGCTACTTTGGCTTACAAAAAGGAAGCAGTTTAGAGATCAATAATTTTACCACCCCTCTCCTAACACAAGATTCATGGAAATCAAACTACACCATTCTAGAAATGTAGCGAACGAATATTTGAACAAAAGTAACTAGAAGTGATCGAATATTTTGCAAAAATAAGTGATTTAGGGTTATTCAGTTTAAATCCATTCTTCAAAGAACAGTTACCTCTTAGTTCAGGATAAACAAAATTTGGAGTGAGTGAAAAGTTATATTGGTGAGAACACTCTTACTGTTAATGTCAATTTTACGTTCGTGCAGCTGAGACAGGAAAAACGAGTACTTAGAGGGAAAAGAGGGCTCCCTTGGCACTGCCATAACCGTTATTGTATCTGTCAGCTTGGGTAGCATAGCATTGGGATTACTTCAAGTTGCTTTGTAAACAGGTCAATTGAAAAAGGAAGTGTGTTTACCTTTTAACTCTCATGCGTGATCAAGACAGAATTTCTCCTTCTCCTTAATTGATCCAAAATTCAATTTTCCGAACTGACGTAAGGCAAACAATAAGGAGAATTCAGTCCTTATGAGATCTTGGGTGTGAAAGGGATAATAATATGGTTACCCTCTAAGGAGGGTAACCGTTACTCTTCTCTGTATGATTAATTAAAAAGATTATGTCTTACTTCAAAATGTTGTAGCCACTACAGTACTGTGGACAAAACCAGCCCCAAGTTGGACCCAAACGGATTCAAATGACATCAGAACAGTTGATATTCAAGTGTTGAAGGGCAGCACCCACATACATCTCAGTTGGAATTACACTTTGTCAGAATGGCGGTTTAAATTGATTCAGAATTGACGATTTTGGCTTATTCTTTTTGCCAGAGCGACATCTGAATTGGGTGGAGCGACCGTTATCTGTTGTTGCTGTTGAACGTCACAACCTCACCCTTCGGTGGACCTATATGAAGACACTTGGCCTAGTATCGTCATTTCGAGAAGCAGAATTTACTGATCTTAGCAGCGGGGAAAAAACCATTGCAGAGAAAGTGTTAAATACTGCACCAATCGTACATACAGCTTACAGACCTCGATTTCATATTCCGAAGTGTGGCCAACAATATCAATTTTAAAAAACACGACATGATGGACGATTTTTTTTTCTTCTGTCAGATCAGGGCGTGAAATTGCGCCTAATACAGGCGCCAATGCGACTAAATTTTTCACTTTGGCGACCAAATCCTGAAAGTTAGTCGCCAAATTGGCGACCAAATCCTGAAAGTTAGTCGCCAAATTGGCGACTACAACGTTTCATCATAACCTTACCAAGAGATATAGTGAATTAAATAAATTTGCAGAGATAAATCTGTGGCAAACTTCCTCGTTAAGTTTGTTTCCAAAACGTTGCACATGCATCTCGATCGATAACTAGACGCCATCTTGGATTTAGATGAGCCTGAACGTTGTATATCATACATCCTAGTGTCTACTTTGTAGCACGTTAACGATCTTTTCCCTAACTTAATTTTGGAGGGTCTATCTAGAACGCTGACAGCGTAAAGAAGATTTTCTTTGTCTTTGGAAATGGCGACCAACTTTTTTTGAATTGGCTACCACTTTGAAGAATTTAGGAGCCAAGTGGCTATCAGAAAAAAAAGTTAATTTCACGCCCTGCAGATATAGTAATGTTAAAAGTAGAAAATATGAAAAACTGCTGAAAGCTTTGGCTACTTAACATTTTTCAGCATTGTGATTTGCGACTCGTGACTCTTTACATTCGCTAGCCAGTGAATTTAAACTTGTTTGTGCCTGCATTAAATTGAATGCCTCAGCTTTACATTGGTTACATTTACATTACTTCCTTTCTTCAGCATCCGCTGTACCTTCCGAACTCCCTGCTCAGAGCGGGGATAACCAAGGTCTTAAGAATTGGATGATTGCTGTTATAGCTGGTATTTCTGGTCTTGTCCTCCTCTTTGTCGTTATATTCTTACTTTGTTGGATCAGTAAAACTCAGAAGAAGAAGAAGGGCTCCGGAGGTAAGAAAATCACGCTATAAGTATTACCATTAGTGTAACACTGACACCACTATCGTTTCATCTCCCGCGATTTTGAAGCATTTTTAATTATGGTATTTTTTTTATTTTTATCCCACCCCCCTCCCCCCTACCCCGCGGGGCGAGAAGGTTCATGTAAAAGTAAAAGCCGCTACCAAAGCTGTTTTCCTCGACTTTGAACATACATGTCCAATGTTGTTGTATAAATCAAGTTGGTGTCGATTACATCAAAAGCTAAGAGAAACGCGACTTAAGTTTGTGCCTGGTTTTCTCTTTACTTTGGGTGACAATACGAGATGGTTTCCCTTTGCTGATACTCCACGACCACATGAGCTTCATGCTAATTACTTTCAGACCTCTTTTTATTATAAATAATTTCTTCGAGTTTACGATGTAACATAGTTTAATCTGATGATAGTAACGGGCATGTCATATTAGCAAATACTTATACATTTCTTTTTGCTTCCTTTAAAGATGAAGCCGTTGACATGTCGACTACTTCGAGGTAAATTTTACTTTTTTCTGTTGTGATACTTTTCATGCGAAAGAGCGCTGTCAAATCTGCATTCGCTTTTTACAGGTAAGGTAAAATTGGTTACCGGGTTTGATCGACTAGTTTTATTAATTCACTAACAGACGCACCAAATTGCGGTAATTGCAACGTTTGGCTCGCAATCAACAACTGATTACGTTTGTGTAGCTCCAAATAAGCGATCAAACGAATCACTAAGAGATGAAAAGTACGGCCAGGTCGCTTAGGTAGAGTCACATTGGCTGCGTTAAAGGGTAAATTTCCCACTTTCAAAGGCGAATTTCATTTGGTGAGGAGGATCTCACGCTGATAAGAACACTCTTGAGGTTACTTTGTTATACATCATTTACTTCATACAAATTGACGTTGGCGGAAGGCAATGTTTGATATCTGTGATTGTAGCTATTTGATACTGGAGAGAGCCTTTTTGTTGGAGTCAAACACATTCTCCAGTTTTTGTGATTCGCTTTATTCATTCGTCCGTTTCTTTTTTTGTTTAGGTATGTAAAGAATGGCCCCCACCATTCTGACAAGCCTAGCTCTAGCAGGGAATCTATTGAAGATGATCCATTCATTGCTGCGTCCACTTATTCCCAGAATTCAGTTGATAGAAGGGACAGGAAGAGAGATTCCAGTGTCAACTATGGATACCAACCAGACGGTAGAGAACTTAGGCCTAAGCCAACATTCTTGATCCATATGATGCCTTATAAGGCTAACCGTACAGAGTTTTCTTGATAACGTTGAATGTGGCTGTAATTAATGTAAAGTGTTTTCATAGGAACATAACTCAAATCGCAGCCATAGTTTATTCCAGTTCCTGAAGCGTGAAGTTAGCCGGTTTATTGGCTGCTTTCTGTGGATGGGATGTTAGGTCGTTGAAGTTATCCCCTTTACCCAATATTTCGTCTGGTTTCTCTGACTATTCACCGGTTATCCTGTGTTGTTATGTAGACAACTGCCTGGAGAGGGGTACCGCGTGAAGTACGTGTCTTACCTTAAAATACAACACATTGACACAGACCATACTTTGAACCCCAACCTGTTGATTCTCTAGGGTTTTTTTTAAGCGTTACTAACATGCCTAATGTAAACGGAAAAATTGGTTTGCCTGATCAACCATTCGCGTAAACAGACGGCTCTTGTTGCAGCCATCTCGACACTATATTTCTTTTCTTTCCTTCCCACGAGGTTGTCAATTTAGAAAATAGGTTAAAATTCTTTATGTAAGCCAACCTGCTATCACCGAGACTCCCATCAATTTTAGAACATACTATCCCAATGATCTTCCAATTTTCCTTCACAGACGTTAGGACAACGTCTATCATCTCTTGGAATCCCTAATGCATATGTCGAATTATGATTGTCATATTGTACACAGGGCGGAAGAAGCCAGTGTAGCACCAAGTGAAATGAGGTCTAATCAAGACGGACATAGAAGTGACAAAGACAAAGGACCTCTTGATCCAACGGCGATATATGCCATGCCAGACAAGAAAAAGAAGTTGGATAAACGAAGTCCTGCATCCCTTGAATCGGTTTTTGGTAAGATGAATTGAAACTAAAAAAAAAAAGTAAGATTAAATTGAAAATTAAACATTTTAATAGTGCTGGAAGGAGAGCCTACTACTCAAAGGTGTATGGCAGACGTCTTCTCGAATGCATCAAACATTTCCCCTCTGCCTGATGTTACTTATTTTACCCACTTTTTACTTGGGTCGTCTTACTTACAAATCTTCCTTAAAGAATTTAAGATGTTCATGATCGTTTCCACCTACTCTTTTTCATCGCTAGACCCTTTCAAAGCGAAGGACAAATCTGCTAAAGGACCAATTCTACACAATCCTGGCAACTTGGATCTTGATGGCCCCGCTAATGCATCTACAAGTGAGGAGCCAAGAAACTTAATAATCCCCATTGAAATGTTACCTAGCAACCGCCAAACGCCCCAAAAAGATGATACAGGTAGGTAACCAAGAGTTAAATCTACGGGGTCGACTAAAGAACTCAAAAAAAAAGGGAGAGAAGTTCGAGAGTATATTTCCTGCGTCAAGAAATATCTTATGATAACCTCGAGCTGTGGTGTTATAACTTAAAAAATCTTTTCCATGGCTTATCTGTTCTTTTCCGGAGCCTTCCGTGGTCGCGTGAGGGCTCTTGACCAATAAGGGTCAGTGTTATAAAGACGTCGTTTGATATCATGGCCACATATGACACAAAAGTGAAATATTTCCATTAAGGAACGATCCACATTTGCAGTCATACTTCCGACTTTGCAACTACGAAGACACAGTGTGTGATAACTAAATGTTATTGTTCTTCCTTCAGCCTTGACAACTGAAAAGTTTACTTACATCTAGTGTTATTTCCACGCAGAAAATGGAAAATCAGAGCCTTCATCACCTCTTAATTTCACTTTGGAAAAACGTCCACGGAACAGTTCAAGCGGTGCTGCACGTTATCAGCCGGAGCGGAGTAAACTGGTAAAGTTCATGGAATAAGATAGATTCTTCATTTCCGAAGTTAACTTTTACTCCACATACTCCAAAATAATCATGTACTTTGAAGTTGATCAAACACAGAGACGATTCTCTCGTAAAAAAACATAGCTTTGACATACGATGCTCTGATGTTTATGATCTACCAGCCAAACAAGAAGAGAAAATTATATTTCTTTCCTTCACCCACTGCGCAAAATCTTGCGTTTAGCCGGCAAGCTTCTCTATTCTATGGACCAGAGGAGACATACTTACCTTTGTAAAACTCAGTTTATGAAACATGGAGTGTATGAAGGAAAGGAACACCAATTTTCTTTTCTGCGCGTATCATAAAGAAATAGTTGAGGATGATAATTGTTCAGCCCTGTTATCCTCGTGAAGGGAAAGGACTCTTGTAATGTTTTCAAGGTTCCTTTAGATCCTATCACCTAAATTGTATCCGAACAATTGGGTCCTAACACTCCAGGTCAAAGTGGCCCTTGTTCTTTTGTTGTGGTAGGATATCGCATAAATTTGCTTAATTATTGTTGACATGTTTTTGTCATAAATTCCGATCTTTTTCCCTTTAATCCTGCAGCCATATAGGAATGTCCGTGGAGAACTTGTGAGACCAGATACACTATCACGAACTTCACAAGACTCGCACGACACAAAACCAGAAACACTTCCAAACCAGTCGAAGACCGTTGGGTCCCAGACTCACAGCAGGGAATCATCGGATGCAAGCTACATCATCTGCGTGATCTGATGGCGCGGTAATCTGTCTTCCAAACAGGTCACTATTGTTGCTTTGAACCCAAGACATCTAATTAACGTCCATACAAGTATCAATAACAGCTATGAGCCCATCTGAGTACATAGCTTTCAGAGCTGCAGAATGACTTCATTCAAGGAAGACAACTTACGTCCACATGGCCAGCCTTAAATTCCATCTTTGGGCCTGATTCACTCAACTGGCCCGATCTAACGAAAATCTAACGAAATTCAAAAAAGACTTAACAGTGAACTTAGACATACTTATGTACAATAAAGTTACCGAGGGAATATTGCTTGCCAATATATCCCACGTAAGTGAACGGTGAATTTCGTAGAATGGCTAAGTGCTGGTTTCCGCTAAACATTCCGAGTGTTTGCCGTTACACAGACGAATACAGCGGCTTTGGGGTATCACATTTTTCAACCAAAGGGATACAATGCATTTTGACCTTTCCGTAAGTTAAAATGTTTATATTTGTGAAAAATGCTTTGTGTCGCACATAAATGCGTAACAACATCAAAATATATAATTAAGAAGGAAACCAACAACTGAAGAAAAGGTAACATTCATTAAGTACATCAATTTGTGGAATTTTCGGTTTCATTAATAGAGACATTCTTATTCTCTCGGTAGTCAATATTAAAAAGAAGCTTCCAAATATTGTTTCTCGAACAATTTGACTCGAATTTTGGTGCACTGTATGTTAATAGTAGAGAGGTGATTAACTTAATTTTGTAGAGCGTTTCTTTCTTTCGGCAGTTAGTATCAGGCTTTGGAAGCGTGGTGAATAGGGGGCAATTGAGAGAAATTCGACCAAGGGTTTTTTTTTTGTTATTCGTTTTGCTACTATTAAGTAGAAGCAGTATGTATTGAAACAGTTTATTCACCTCCATGTTGTTATGATGATGGATATATTCTCCACTTTTGGTATATATAATTTTGATAGGAAGCGTTCGAAGGCAAATGCCTCAGTAATATTCTGTCAGCTGCTGCTGAAGTTTGTTTCAATCACACTATCAGTTAGAGATAACCATAGGTAATTTTGTGAGATTATATTGCTTAATAGGAAATCTTTATTTTTGATCAGTTCGAAAAAGAGAAAATATAGAAATAAAATATTCAGAGTAAAAATGTTGTCACCAGACTCTTATTAATAACCCCTTAATCCTCTAGAAAAGTGATGTGAGGGAGGGACGTAGTTCAGTATGATTAAGTCATTTGTTTATCTCTAGTATTTCGATGCAATTTGAATTCAAAATATGAAGTTATTTGGGTTCAAGTTATCGCGATAAGTTTCCTGATTGCGACAGCCTTGTTGTGTTCTACGTAGAGAACGCATACCATTCATGTTCTTTTTCAGTCTCGCGGGTTTCATGATATCCCGCAGGTATCGATCCGAAGCCAGACCGTTTCAGCTTATCGACGCCATTTTGGACCACCTCAATTTCATGCAAGAGCTTTAGATCACGCTGGCCAAGTGAGGTTCCGCAGGTCGACTCGCTTCGGTTTTTTCAGTCAAAATTGGGCTTTGAGCCACGCCACAATTTGCTGTACGCAAGTATAATTCCAAATAAAACAGTAAGGAATCATATTTTGGCTCACGCAGTTAGAGATTTATCCGGTTGATTGGAAGCATTAAGTAAGTTGTTGTTCTTTGTTAGATGCTTATAAAAGTCTTAAGGTTAGTGCTCTGACATCAAATGTTTAATGTTTTAAAGTCAGTTGGCCAGCATGCCAACTCACCCACGGATAGTGAATACCAATGTGTGTACGTAAGAGTGAGTGGTCAGTGAGAATCAGAGAAAGAAAGTGATCGTTCAGAGTTATGAGTCGGTCGACCAGAGTTTCCCGAAGTAAGTAAAAGATAATGGGATTTTATTAGTAAGTCAGATTCAGTGATTAAAGAAAAGAGTGAAGCAAAATTAATGTAATTAGAATGGTATAGAGTATAGAGATTAAAAAGCCTGAAAATGACAGGTCGCGAGCTTTCGGTGCCTTTGCTAGGCGTGGTGTGCTCTGGAGGCAGTTTCTCTCGTCAGTGCGACCCAAAACAAGTTAATAGTAAGGGAAATGGAAAAAGGAAACTTTTGGATACTTATACAAAATCTTATATAAGTATTTCTTTAATAAACGACTGGACAGTGCCGGGCTAACGCAAGGTACTATGACAAGTATGTATACGTAATTGGAGATTCTGCGTGTCTCAAATGTACAGAACGGAATTTAAAATCTCTGATCATGAGAAGATGGGCAAATACTGAGAGAAGAAGCGTGCTAGAAACTGTCTTCCCCTTTTTCTTTTGATTTTTTATTTTTCTGCCTAAAGTCTCACTTTTTCTCTTCTAACATTCCACCCGGACTTTGACCTTTTTGGACAAAGTTTACTGTTTTCAATAAATTTACATGAATGGTTTTTCGGGAACAGTGATATGCCTAATTTAAGAGCCGCGCATCGGAATTTTGGAGGAGTGATATATGATAATTGTTGGGCGAGATTCAAAGTTAAAATAATATTTTTCCATACGGGATCCGTAGGTTTTAAGATCTAGGAAAGCCCTACTTAATGTAAAAGAAAAATCAAGCTGTTACCTTAAACGAGCGGAAGTGGCCGTTTCAGTTCAGTTTTGTCACATCTTGTGAGAGGTCTTGTCGAACTCACATATACGTGGAAGGTTCACCAGTTTGCAACACATTAGCCATAAAAGATCATTCTTAATAAATTCCGCGATCGAAGGAAATAAATCGGACTCCTTAAGCCTACCTTACGTATAATGCGCAGCATAGCATAGCACAAAACTTTTGAGTTGAATCACCAAACCGAGGTCGACCCCAGGGTTCGTGCCGCAGAGACAACTATATGTCTGCATAGTTATTTTCTGGTTGAAAACAGCCGTAAACAGACATTCGGTAATCTAAAGCCTATGGAGTTCCTGACAGGAATATGCAACTTTTACCTGCTGCTACATATCCTTGTTCGGGAAGTATGTAAGTATCTTCAACTTGTGAAGCAAATACGTGCACGTAATGTAAGATCCGATTCAGACGCCAAACTTTCGATTTACACAAATTCAAAATGTAAGCCTTCTGACTCAGAAGCGAAACTTAGGAAACGTCCCCCAAGCGATTCTCATACATTTCTTTAATAACTGGATCAAATTATCTGATAATTTGTGAACTTACTTCGACACATGAAAAGTTCAGAGTTTTAACTAGGCATGGCCTGCTTCAGATTTCACTTCGTAAGAAGTAACAAAAACATTCTCAGATACTTGTTCGTTATGTTTCACATTTTTTGCAAGAAACACTGTCTTATCCCGTGGAGTTTTTCTCAAATATATCACGCGACAATTACAAGTATACGAGGTAAAGTAGGGAAATCGTTTTATTTTACTGTGGCAAAGTATATGCGAAATAACAATTAGAGCCTATTTATATCTTTTAACTCAACATGTTATTCAGAATAAATGATTTGCCACAACAGGAATTTTTGATTATCTCACATAATCAATTGAGGCCATTCACAGAAATCTGCAGTTCATAGAAATCTATTGATAGTCACGAAACGTCTCACAAGAGTTTCAAACATCAATCGAGTTTTGACGCACTATTTCTTTTTAGTTAGTTTTGCTTGGCGCTTGGCTGATAGAGCTTCATCTATGGCTGAAGTATCAAATTTTAACCTACAAGTAGTTTCCTTCAACCAATGCCTGAAAAGATTAAATTCCATCTCCAAGAGTTTTGTGACTAAAACTCTCAATTTGGGAAGAACATTCCTAATTCAATTAGGAAGCTTTGTTTGTATTAGTGATTTCAAAGGGCACTTCGTTCATAAAATATTTTAATCGTGTAGCTTTGGTTTATACCCGATATACTAGCACTCTGATTAGCTAAGAGTGAGATCAGAGCAAAGCATTATACAGCGGTAATGCCAGGTAATGCCTAAGGGCCAATTACGGATTATGTAAATTAGGAAGAGCTCTGTGGTGGCCATCTTCTGTTTTCTAAAATCTGAGCATAGGAAAATGATGAAGCTCAATTAAGAGTCTGAGAGAGTAAATTTAATTACAGGCAGTTATGAATTTTGAGGAACAGAGTAGATGCAGTTTTGAATTTCCTTAGAGATTGTACTGGTCATGGATGAAGTGATTAAATAAGGATATATTCAATCTCACATTTAATACTTGCATTGGAAAGCTGTTAGGGACAAGATAACACTTCAACGGGATTATTGCTTAACATTTTGTGATTAAGTTGTTTTTGACTTACCAGCCGGTAACCTGTGTGAGCACAAGTAAAGAACAATCAAAGTTTGCCTTGTCATATACAGGCCCCCAGCAGTTATTTGTTTGTTTTAGATTCAAGAGCATCTCACTAAGTCTTCTTCAAACTTGCAGTGAATTTATATCAAGTCCATTTTGTATTTTTCTTGTATTATAAACTCATAATGCAGTGTGCTTTTGTAACAATAGCGATAAATTGAGCAAATGAGGAGTAATTGGACAAATAATTATATATAAGTTGATTTGAAAGTGTATGGCTAGTTTGATTTCAAAAGTGTCTTGCTCCAACGTAAACCAAACAGGAGTGATTTATTCATGATGAAAGTTATTATCATACAGAAAAGTTGAGCAATGAAAGCAATGGATCACTTGCCATTGGCTTTGGTGACCAGTGAACTGCATGCTTATAACAAAATGTAATTTATTTTTCATGCTTGTACAACTGCTGCTTGGGAAGCTAACTTAGTGAAACCATTTCATCAAAGACTTGAAACAAGGACCGTGCAGCTGTTACAAATGCTCTAATGATATTAACTGATTAAGTTTGGAATCTGATTAAAGTAAATCTAGGATTGCAAACCATTCAATATTTGGGTAATTCTTGTAGGCTGTGTAGAAATTGATCATTATGCTACATCAGTGCAAGATTCATTCAAGTCTGCTTTAGCAAGTTTTATTTGCTCTGTGTAAAGCTAAAGGGACATATTTTAATCATCCACTATTCTTGCATAAATGGTTGGAATGTTGCACAGGGTACCCATTCCATTCCACCAATTCATTCCAAAATGACTGGCTTTCTTTTTTGGAATATTTTGATAAGCAAGCCTCCTTCATCTTCCCAATATACTTGCTGATAATAAAATTAAATGAGTTTAGTGTAGTTGTAGTAAAGGGAATTTCTCTTGGTACAACTTTTAAAATAACATGTTGAGAATGTTATTTAATTAACAGTGTCTTTATTGAAATAAAAAGCACTTGAAAAGTTTTAGAGAGTTCTTTGTTGTTAGGAGGTTAGAGGTTGTTTTCACCTATGTAAGCAACAACCCTTACAAATCTTTCAAGCTCTGTAAACTTCCTGAGTGCTTCTTATTTTCTTTTCTTCTTATCATGTCCAAGATCTTGTTAATAATTCTCTTTCTGCCTGCTATACAATTCTAGGATGCTATTTCTGAGAACTTGGTGTTGAATCAAGTAATAACCCTTGCAAAATGGCTTTTGGAATTCCTAGGAATTCCTAGGAATTCCTAGGAATAAAGGTGTGAATTTTCACGGTAAATTCGGACTGGGAATTCCTAGGAATTCCTAGGAATTCCCAACCATAACAACTCTGGTTCTAAAAACCTAGAAATTCCTAGAAATTCCCAGAAATTCCCAAAAATTCCCAGAAATTCCAAGTTTATAGCCAACAGGACTTGGAATTCCTAGGAATTCCTAGGAATTCCAACTCAGAGAACCAATGACTTTCCCTGAAAAGCTGTAAATCTAAAAAATTCCTAGGAATTTCTGGGAATTTCTGAGAATTTTTAGGAATGTTTAAGAATTACTGGGAATTTTAAGCAAAAATTTGAGGCTAATGATATAAAATAAATACTTTAAATTAAAAAAACCCAGCTAAAATTCAAGTATTCAATGAAATCTATTTAGAAGCTTAATTTAAGGCTTACATGTAAAATATTTTTGATTAATTATTAACATCAATGTGTGGTAATATTAGGATGGAATTTGATTTATTTTTCTTTTCTTGAAAACTTCATACGGATTAATCCTCAATTACAGCTATTCATATAAAATAGTTCTAATCAATCATTAAATTTGGTTTGACACAAATTGTGAATAAAATCTGTTGATTCTTTTCCATAAAATACAATATCTTAAGTTATATTTGAAAACCAAGCACTCTTGGGAGTGAAGGGGCTAATTACAGACAAATAAAATTGATTTTTTGATTAAAATCTTGTTGTAACTGTAGCAATAAATTAGAATGAAGTTATCCTAAACTGCAAACTTAGCTGCTGTTTGTACTGTTTGTATTTTTTTTCCTGGGCTCACAATGAGTTGGCCTTGACTGTAACAATAAATTAGAATGAAGTTATCCTAAACTGCAAACTTAGCTGCTGTTTGTACTGTTTGTATTTTTTTTCCTGGGCTCACAATGAGTTGGCCTTGAATGAGGTTGTCAATAAGAACCTTGACCATTTTGTATCTGGATTCCTTGACATCTGAATTTAAAAAAAAATATATTAAAATATGTATATTTAAAGCTCAGACCAGGCTTTTAAGATGGCTATGAGGAAAAGGGCATTCATTGGATTCTCAAATTGAGAAATCTCTGTTATATTGAGTGACTTTTATATTGGAGTTAGTATATCTCTCTCATGGATTTTACTAAAAAAGGGCTGAATACATTATTTTGTTTTTACCAAGGAGGGCTTCTTTATGTACTAAGATTTGTTTAATAACAGTTCCTATTATGAATCTTGAATGTTCCCAAATGTGACTAGAGGAATCTTGAAACCTTACTGATAGGTTTATTTCATTGTAAAGCATAATAAGCTTAAGAAACTGCGGCATGCAAGTGACCGATTCGATTCTCAGAATTATTCTAGTTTCAGTTGCGCCGAGCGTTATGTAAGCTTAATTCAACCCGCTACATCTATTCTTTTATAAGATTTTGATCACGTAACGAATATCGCAATTTTTACTCACCACAAACTTTCAAAATCGTAGCTTTACAGATGGCCACTCGACCCTTGTTTGTACCAGTCAATATGTCAACTGTTGTCCCTTCTTTTAACTCCACGGCGCCAACGACTTTCTTTTCTTTTACAACACTCACGCTATTCTCGTTTTCCCATTGAACCACAATAAAAGCTATCTTTAGAAATGTTATATTAAGCAAAACAGTTGAGAAAAGCGATCAACCGATGAAAAGTACATTCAAAGATGAGCGCCAAATGGAGTCTTCTTTGTTTCCGATCACGGGCATGATCACGTGGATCTTTTAGGACTTGTCATTGGCTAGCAGAGTGAATCCGCTGGCTTGCCGATTGCAGTGTTAGGAGAAGTGCCCAACTTTGTTCTGACTTCTCCGACCGGTTCTCTGCTTCTAGAAGATGGATAGCTTGGTGATATAAATAAAGATGTGAGCTCACTCTATGTAGAAATAATCGACAAGAATCGATCGTATTACAAATGCACGATTTGTGGCCGAAAGTTGTCGAGGAGACTCGAAACTCACTTGAGTTGTGTTAATGGCAAAGTTGAGAAATAACACAAGCCAATCACAGTTTTGAATGCGACTACAAATCGTCTTTTACCCTCATATTTATAAAAGAAGGATACCACATTCGGAAGTATAAGAGATACATAGATGATCCCAGTGTACCAGTACCTAAATCTACAAAGCTTGACCGTAGCAAGCGTTCAGCAACACGTTCCAACACCGCCATCTCGATTCCTCAGTCAGTCGTTTCCACTGAACTTAAAGCAGTATTGACAACAGAGTAGAGTGCGTCTTACAAAGGAGAAACATTTGTACAAGAGACAGAAGTAGCTATATGCGATTACAGAGGTGCGTTGGAACTCTGGTCCACAAATAGTTATGCACTGCCCGAAGTATAAAACAATTTTGCTGATAGCTGACAGACAGAGAAGAACAACAAGTAAACTTAAGAGCTGTTATTATTGAAGTGTGACTAGCACTTTTCATTTTTATATAAAGAAGGACTTGTAATTTGCACCAAAAATAAAAAGATGTAATGTTTTTTGGGAGGTCCAGTGATTGGGACATTTAAGAGATTAAGTTATGAAAAGAAACTTGGTTGGTACTTCTCACTACTAACAAGTCTTGTTGACAAATATTTTCAGATCAGAGTTTCAAATAAAGTAAATTGAAGACGTCATATAAAAGGTGTTTTTCCTCAAAGGGAACATTGACTATCTCTGTCTTGTCTGCATGCCAAATGTTTGCAAAGTGTGTGGATGATCCACAAGTATTGGAACTCTTACAAAAATGTTTTGTAAGAATAAAAACAGCAAAACAAATTACAGCAATTAGTCATGAAAATAGAGCAAAAAACTGAAAAAAAAAAAGCAGCAACAACAATCATGAAAAAAGAAAGATTAATTAGGTGTTGAATTTGTTTGTCTAAGGCATGAAATTTCTTCTAAAAGTATTGTCAACAAAAAGTCTCTGACAGCGTTTGAGGCAACTGAGCTTGACTGTTCCAAGGTTTTCTAACAAAGGCAACCAGTAATGTAGGTTAGGGAAGTAAGATAACAATGTAATTATTGTTAATTATTGTGAAAGTTGGCAATTTCCATTTAACATAACTGACAGCTGGTTCATGAGAAAATCCATATTAATGTAAAGATTTACTAAAACTTAGTTTGAGTAATAAATTTCATGATCTTTAAGTTATAAACATGTACATGTATGTATATCTCTTGGTAGGTTTTGTATAGCATACCTTTTATTGAGCCAAAGTTTTAAGCCTCTGAAATGACTCTTTCTTAAAACCTTCACATTCAAGGTATTGAGAATTTCTTAGAATTTATGTGGACCTCAGGGTATTAAAATTGCCTCAAATTCAATTCCCAGAAATTCCCAAGAGTTCCACACTTCTTAAATTATAGGTAGTTTGTAAAGCTGAGAATTCCTAGGAATTCCTAGGGATTCCAAGTCCTCACAAAACTGGAGTCTTCCTTTCCCAGAAATTCCCAGTAATTCCAAGCTTTTTAAATCAGAGCTAATTTGCATAGTTGGGAATTTTTGAGAATTCCTAGGAATTCCTAGGAATTCCCAGAAATTCCCAGAAAACTGGGAATTTAGTTTGCAAGGGTCATTTGCATAATTGGGAATTTTTGAGAATTCCTAGGAATTCCTAGGAATTCCTAGGAATTCCCAGAAAACTGGGAATTCAGTTCGCAAGGGAACACCCTAATTGATATTTTTCTTTATTCTCATCACTTTTCTATTTGATATTGTTTTGATGCTGTAAGGAGAAATTCTGTCATGGTCACTCATGGGAGTTAATAGGTTCAAATAGAAGAATGCTTCAACTCTTAGAAATTGTCATCTCCACCTTGAGATGGAGAAAAAAACTTGATTAAAATTCTCTACCTACCATGTTTTGAGATTTGAGTTCCTAATTGAGTAAAGCAAGCTGGGAATTTCTCTTGATGGTCTTTTATCCTTATACAGTCATTAAAACTTCTTTTTTATTCCTTTGTATATTTCCAGACAGTCAAAGTTTCACAAGTAAACCAAACAGTCCTGAGTATCAGCTAAAGGGTCAATCTGCATCCTTGACATGGAATTTCAACAGCAATGGGAAAACAGTCAGTCACATAATGTGGTTTTACAATAATGTTTGGGTTGCTACTAAACCATCAAGAGGATCAGCCACTGTTCTCAATTCACAGTATCAGGTATCAGGGGATGCAACACTTAGAATATCAAATGTTCAGACAAAGGACAATGGTGATTTTGATTGTCAAGTGGTTTTCACTTCTGGTGTTCCTCCTGTGATTCAGGATAGGGCTAAACTAGTAGTTGTTGGTAAGTTCCTCAACTAAGTTAAATGACTACTGGATCAGTATCTGGGCAACTGCCCACCTACCCCTCCCCTAACTCAACATTAACCCTAAATTGTTATCAATAGACTGTTGTTGGGTTAGGGGAGGGGTAGGTGGGCAGTTGCCCAGATACTGATATTGATCCTGACTATTTATATTGGTGGCACAAATATTTCCTAGTTTTGACATTTTTAAACTAAAGCTGGTGACACACTTGATGATTTTTTCCACAGATTGCATGCAGCCAATTTGATCACCAGCAAAAATCAGTGATATCTGACATGCCAGATATCAGCAATCCTACATGCCTATCATAGCAATCCATGGAAATTGCTATTGTTGTGTCAAGCACACCTGGTAATTTTAGCTGATCATTGCAATAAGAATATAAAAATTGTCAAGTGTGTCAAGGCTTAAGGACAGATTTGAACCCCAGTATTAAAACTCTTCTATCTGGTAATTCAAAACTATTTTAGGATGCTGAAATAATCCCATGATCATCTGACCTTTGTATTAATAAAAATTCATTGTTTTACACAGTGCGCCCAACAATTACACTCAAAATTACAACAGCTCCAACTTTGGATGAAGGTGCTACAAGAACATTGTTTTGTGTGGCCAGTGGCAACCCCAAACCCACTTACAGGTGGTATAAAGATAATGTAAAGATTCTGGAAGATCAAAATAACTCCAACTACACAATAACATCAGCCAGCAGGAATGATGCAGGGACGTACAGATGTGAAGCTGTTATTAATGTTCCAACTCTTGGCCAGTACAGTGACTCTTACACTGTTCAGGTTACAGTTAGATGTAAGTCAACTCACAATACCTACTTCTATTCTTTTCCCTGGATAGGTAATTTTATACATTTTGTTTACCATTATGGTACAATGTTAAATAGATGGTTAGTAAGATGAAGGAAATAACCAGCTTAAAAAATTCGTCAAAATGGCCAACAAAGAAAGGTATGATAAACTGCTAAGAAAAAGTTAGTTGTTTTGGGAAACTCACTTACAGTGCATTTACAGGTACATCCAGTCACAACTGAGCACAACAGCTTATAGGTGATGCAATTACACAATCTCCCTCATGGCCTGAAAAAGAGAAGCAGTTAATGCAGTTCAAACATCGGGATCCACAACTGCAGTGACCACATTGTGAGACAAACAATCACATGTGTACTGCTCTTTTGAAAATGTACATGTGTATCGAAGACTGAATGCAATAAATATCAGATGACATATATGTACAGTTGATATACATTATTTAGAGGGGATCAGGGACAAACTCTCAGATTGAAATGGCAAACAAAGACATGTATGAACAGTTACTTGTAGAAGAAGTTTTGAACTTTCAGAAATCTGTTTCTTGCGAGTTCAGGTTTGAATACAAGTTAATTAATTTTTTTTTCTGGTTTGTTGTGTAATTTCTGAACCAACCACATTTTCACAATACTTCAGTTAAAGGTCAAAATGATATGGTTCTTTGGTTGAATTTTTATCTATGAGGACATTTTGTGATATCTTTTATACAAAGAATGAATGTCGTTGACAATCAGTCCTGAACATTATCTCCCAGGACATGTGTTGAAATGTTTTCAACATGTTCATGGGATCATTTTGTCAATTGTTCATGTAAAGGTAATTTCGAGAAGGATCCAAAATTGTTGTGACTATTCCTGTTTATTAACCCTTTAACTCCCAGATCAAATTTGTAATTCTCCTTACTGTCAACCATACAATTCTTTAAAAAGTTAGTTCAGAGAATTTAGTATTGGATCAACCAATTATCTCCAAATTGATATTTTCTTTATTCTCATGATTTATCTGGTTGATATTGTATTGATATTCTAAGGAGAAATTCTGTCTTGGTCACTCATGGGAGTTAAAGAGGTAAATAACTGAGATATTACAAGTGCTGATTGATTGAAAAAAAAACTATCAATTACTGCACCCTTAAACCCATAGAAAATTGAAACGTTTTAACTTCATTTTGTGAAAGCAGTTTATCTAACTTTCTATTGATTTACTGGGCGTAATAACCCACTCAAGATGTTGGAAGAACACAAGAAAAGTTTGTAAAACTCTCACCTTTAGTTTGTGGTTGATAAACAATTCTCACAATTTTGTTATATTCTGTGTGGGTAATATTAGGCTGGGAAACCAATAGAAAGTCCAGTCTATAACAGAAGTGTACATTAAGGGCTGTAAAGTGTACTGTAGCTCTATCATTTAATCCTTATGTAAGCCAGTGATAAAGATTTCCCTTAATGTTTTCATATTTTTATCTTACAGTCCGTCCTGTGCACAAAACAAACAGTTTGAGCAGTAATCAAACTGTCGTGGAAGGTCGTACTGCCACATTTCTTTGTCTCACTGAAGCATTTCCCACTGCAACCGCATACAAATGGTTTAAGGATGGCATTGAGATAACCAATTCACAAGATTTTGAAACTTTGAAAATTAGCAATACACAAAGCAGACTGAGGATCAAGAATGCTAAGAAGGGAAGTGCTGGGCAATACTCATGTGATGGTACAAATGCAGTTGGAACTGGAGATAGAAAATCTGCTTTCTTATTGGTCAACTGTAAGTTATGTTATTTGTTATGGACTGGACAATGTTTTAGATTTGTTAAATATGTTTACTGATTTTGCTATCCTGTGCAAGTCATGATACTGGTTTAATTAAAATTTGATCCCAATGGATGCTTTAGAATAGCTGGCAGAGAAGGCCTGGAGAGCCTCTTGTTGCCAAGGGGGTCTGGGCTCCTTTGGAAAATCTGGGGGTGAAGACTCCTGCAGTGTCATTTTCCTGCATTTTTAGGTTTGATCCAATTTTACCATAGTGATTACATTTAGTGCCCTCCCCCCCCCCAATAAGTGCCCCCTCTATACTAGATGCTGCCTAAAATTTGTTTTTGTCAATAAGTACCACTATTCTAATCAGTGCCCATATTAAGTAAGCGCCCTCAATCTAGTGAGGACCTCCTTATGAAAAACTCCGTTATTCCAACAAGTGCTAAGTGCCCCTATTCTGTTTCAGTGATCGCAATGTTAAATTAAATGTGAATTGAGATCAACCATGCTTCATCTTCCTTTAATTGCTCACGCAAAGTTTTGTAACAAAAATGTTGGTCGTCTACTCAGTCTCTTAGCTATTACGTCCATGTGAGTACACAGTTTTTTTCAAAGGAATGAGGCTGTCTCAAAATTTTTCAGAGATTGCTTGGCTGGTTGTTCTGGCCAGGAAGGATCCAGTGACAACAAGCGCATTTTCTTTCTTGTGTTTTTGATCCCCCTTAAATGAATATCAAAGTTTTGTTTTGCACATTATGTTGTTGTTTCTCAAAAGAGAAATAGTGGCAAATCAGATTTCTGTAAACTTTTATGCCAAAAAGTGCCAAACTGGTGTTAGTGAAAAACATAAAAATGTATAGGTTACTTGTGTATATCCAGGGTCTTCCTTGACAACACTCACAGTGTTATGAAGTGAAAGCAATTTGTTTATTATTTATATCTGTACAAAAAATGAAAGATAAATGGAAAGGTCAGGCAACAGAATTTTAGCCAGACTGTTCTGGGAATAATGTGTAGCATTCTGTGATATCCATTGCCAAATGAACACCCTGTGCCACATTTCCCTGGCAATTAAAGACAGTAAGGAGAATTACTAATGAGAACCTTTAATAAGAGTTAAAGGGTTGAGAGCCATTGAGAACTCAAACTAAAATAACCAAACCGCCTAAAGCGCAGGAAAACGTGGGTGACCAATTCGTGATTGGTTTTGGTGTTGTATCTGATTGGTTCAGAGAGTGGCACGAGTTTTTTTGTACCAACCACAAAGCAAGTCAAAGCAAAAGCAAAGTAATCTCTGATTTCTTTCGCACTTCGTGGAAAATTGTTTTAATAGCTTCATCAACTGCAGTAATTTTTATTTGTCACTTATCTTTCTTATTTTTTTGTTTTACAAAAGATCCACCAACAATCACCTTCTATCAAAGAGCATTCACAGTTAATGAAACAAACGATGTTACATTGACATGTCGTGCAAAGGGAGTGCCTCAGCCAACAATTACTTGGAGAAAGATAGAAGATGAATTAAACTGCTTGGGTGAGCACTGCATCATACGCAACATAAGTGGCAAGAATGATGGAACCTACAGATGTGTTGCTAGAAATGAACTTGGCGAGGATTGGAAAGAAATCACTCTTAATGTCCAGAGTAAGTTCTCGTGCACGTTAGATGTGTTAGTCGTGTTTCCATGTAGGACTTGGGTGTGTGATCTTTGGCAGTAGTGGATGTATCATTAAATCCAGTTAACAGTGTCTTGTGTTTGAAACTAGGGAATCCAATTTCAGTGAAATTATCAGCCGGCGGACAAGCTTTCGTCATTGGTTCTGCAGTAAGAGCCGGTTTTTTGCCTGTAAATAAGTTTGATGCTTTGGGCAACGCTAGCCGGCAACAGGCCTGCAAGTGGTCTGCCAGATTCCTTGCAGACCGCTGGCCTTCTTGCTTTGCTCAAGGCTTTTAACTTACTTTTGGTCAAGAAACGCGCGTGCAGGCTAAAAAATTTTATGTCCAAAAAAAACCCTGATTTCAAAGGTCGCATAGTTGCGAAAATTCATGGTGAATCACTAGAAATCAGAGACAAATGAACATTCAGAAAAATGTTTCTCACAGTTAGGATAAACTGGAGTAATTGCTTTCCAACAGTACGTCCGATCCTCCTGGGGAATCCATTACTGCTACTAGTGGTCACATTTCCAGCCCCAATTTTCCCAACAACTATGACGCAAACAGGATTTGTACCTGGAATATCACGGTACCCGATGGGAAAATCATCAAACTGACCCTCTTGAACTTTACCCTGGTAGCAGATGAAAACGATGATTGTGCTGGAGCGGCAGCAGATAGTGCCCGAGTCTTTATCACAAACGTTGCCTCTCATGGAGAAAACTCCTAAAGACTTTAAGATCTGTGGTCAAAAGCATCCCCCTCCTCTGTACTCCGAGGGAAACTTCATTCAAGTGAGATTTGAATCGCGCACCGGCCTTGTAAACAAAGGGTTCAATGCAACCTTTCAGGCGATAGATGGAGATTCACGTAAGAGCTTTTCCTTCAGGGGTAGTTTATGAAGGATGTATAGAAGTGTACTGAGCATGTACTCTATTGAACTAAACGAGAGTTTTGTTGAGTATAACCTGAAAATAATGAGGTAGACAATCTATTAACAGCTATAGTCTGTAGAAAGAAAATTGAATGTATTCAAGCCTTTCACCCGGACGCAAGCTGTTAATATTTCATGTCGGTTACATTGATTTATGTTTAAACCCATCAACATACGGAAAAGGAGCAGTAGGCTGTATTGGAAATCAACCCGTTAACCACAGTGGAGTGTAAAAATCAATACTAAAACAGTTTTGGATGCCTGACACAGTCTTTGTTACTCTTTTTAGTGTGCCCAGCAGATATGATCCTCGATGAAACATCAGGTTCTTTCTCCTCTCCCTTTTATCCAAGAAACTATCCATTTAACCAGACATGTAGCTGGAAGATTATAGGGAAACAAGGATACCGTGTTGAGCTCACAATACCAGACTATAATCTGCAACGTTGTGGTGATGCTGCTTGCTCGTGTGATTACATGGAAGTTCAGAATAGCTTCAGTGATGAAGTGCCGCCTGGAAAACTATGTGGTACACCAAGGTATATTCCTGTAAAGTTTTATTCACTGCACGAAAGCTTGAGGGTGGTGTTTGTGTCCCATGATGCAAACATGGATTATGACGGATTTGGGGCAACTTACAAGCTGTTGAACTACAGTCCTCCAAGTAAGTAGAGAAAACAACTTCCTAAGATCTAAGAGTTCGCTGAGAGAATATGTTACATGCAATAAACTCACCCACACAAGTAATGATAAGGAGCTTAGTTGATAAGAGTGGAGGTTCTCTCTGTTATCAACTCAGGGTGAATGCGAACATCTCTGATGTATAGTGTAAGCAGTGATGTACTGGGAAGCCATGCCAACCCTAATTGAATTAAGGTGGTAAGTTTCCAAAAAACTGTGGCGCTGCGTCGGTCGAGGAGTATAACAGTATTATTTTGGTTTCATCTGACTTGACAATGTAATTTGGTCACCGTAACGAGTTTCAAATATTCGTATTCTTGCCTTGGGACTACTCACGTATAAAAGTCGTATTGAAATGTATCAGCCTAAAGAGCATGGTTTTAAGCCGTTTTGATCTTGACTATTGGTCGAGTCAACAGTTATATGATAAGCATTTTGATTGGCTGTTATTTAGCACCTATTGGAGAAAAGAGGTGTGGATGACTTCACCATTTACAACAATTTCCATCATCGTATATGAAGCAACTAGATTCCACGTTGCCGTGCGTCTACTCAGGAAGACATATTAGGTGATGTCACCCTGTTTTCATCAGTGACACTTGGAAGCGCCTCGTGTGCCACTCTTTTGCTCTTACCATGCATATTGTGACGGCATCTGCGAAAGAAGCCATATATCTATCACCAATCCACGTTTATTCTGGCCTATTCCAAGCGTTCTAGTCAGTCAAACAGAGTGAAATAGCCAGGGGCACGATAGAAGCGGAGTAGCGAAAAAGAGAGTGAGGTTTGGGTCTGGTAGGGAAAAGAAGACGTTGATTACCCAACATGACCCACACCTCCCTGGTTTTTTCACTCTCCAGCTGCTCTCGCGCTGTTGAATATGGTCCTGTGTTTTAGTAATTGAACGCCCGGAACAGCCTATGCTTATTCTCCCGCACTACATGCTCCTTCTCATTGCTTACAGTTTGTCCCAAGGAAGCAATTCCTCTCTCAGGCAGCGGCAAAATCAGCAGCACAAACTACCCAAAGAGTAATTACACTGCGTCCAGAAATTGTGCCTGGAACATTACCGCGCCAGCTAACAAAATTGTAAATTTTACGTTTACTGACTTTGTGTTAAGTGAGTGTTCAGCAAATCCTTGTTCAGATTCTTGTTCTTATGTGGAGCTTTATGATGGTGGGTCAACAAGTTCACCTTCGCTGGGGCGATTTTGCCAGGGGTCGTCTTGGAATGAGCCTCAGTTGTCGAATGGAAATCAAATGTTTGTGATGTTCCACCCTGGACAAACAGTTAATCGTAGATTTGAAGCCAAGTATGAATCCACAACGACCAGTGGTGAGTACCCTGTGACGTTCATTCTGTATATCCTCTTTTATAATCATCAAACATTTCTCTTGGGCGAAATTGCTCTTGACGCGTTACGCAACCGACTATGCCCCAACTTGCATGTGATTCTATACTATTTAGAGACAGACTGACTTTCGCCGCTCACCACGATCATCCTGAGCTACTTTCGCCTTCTTTTGAAAGAAAACGTATTTAACATTTCTCTTTCACGAGGGTCTTAATGAGGTTAGCCATAAAACGGCCAAAAGCTCTACACGTTAGGCGTAGAAACTGACAGATTATGAAAGTGTGTCCATTAGAGTACCCGGCAGTCGTGCTACATGCCATCTCGCTGATAATATATAGATTTAGGCAAGCCTAAAAGCGGAGCTCTTGTTAGTTTATTTTCCAGCCCTTCATTATACTGAATGAATACTGTGATAAAACTATTAGCACTGGCTGAAGAAGAGTTTTTTCAATGAATTGAAAGACCAGTTCGGGGGGGAGGTGGGGAAAAAATTGACGAAGTCTGGAACCTGGGGACGATATTCTCACAACTACACGCATGCTAGTCAGCGGTATCTTCAGACAGCTTACGATTTTCGTCGTTGTTCTTGATGTTTTGACCAAATTTTATGAAGATAGGGAATGTTTTCTTCTTCAGAGGAAGCGCATGATGTCAGCATTAATTGAAATTGTATTCTATTGAGCCCGAGTTATAATTTCGGTTTGGGAAAATGAGCCAAAATTGAAAGAAACGATAGTATACACGTGCAGTGAGAACAGTGAGTCAGTAAAACGATGCGCCAGAATCGTATGGGCTTCTCTTATATCTGCTTTTGAAGTTGCCAGGTAGGAATGCTCACCCCACTGTTTTTCCCCAACGTTTCAACCTCCTCTGTTTAGCGTAGAAAATGGTTGGGTTGAAATATAATACAAACACTATTACAAAATAATTAGTCAGGGAAAAGGAAAACTTGTGGCATATACACCGTGTTTGAAATGCCATGTCCATAGTAAGCTAACAGGATCGAGGAGGACTATGTGGGAATAGGCTCTCTCGTCTGTGTCAATAATTTGCTAATCACTCCTGTTGGCAATATTTTGACGAGGTTGGGCTGTCAGGGCAAAGGAACTGAAGATTTTAGTGACTTTAGGCAGTGACTTTTTTCAAACCTGGAAACTATCATCGTGAAAGCCATACCTGTGCCCAATAATTCATTCTTATTCTGATAAACTAGTTTTAAGAAGGATACAATATTCTATAGCAAAAATTTGATGCATAAGTTGTGCAAAAAAATTTAATTTGACTATGCTTTTATAGCCAATAACAGTCCCTTCTCATAGTAAAATGTTAGGAGGATCAGAGCAAAAACAATATGCCATACATATGCAAGAGTTTATGTAATTATTTGAATTACATAAATATTAACTGATAAAAGGAGATCTAATAATATTTAAAAAATAATGAAATTTGGTTGAAAAATTAGAATTCAGCACAGGCTGGATAAAAAAAATTCTTAGGAAAAGAAATGTACACTAATGAGAAAGCTAACCAAACGTCTTTTACAACACCTGCCTGTACCTATACGGCATGTAGTAAAGTCTTTTGAAGTAGTCATAATCCCAGTTCTCTTTCTTGTTCCTCTCGCCGTATTCTGCTTATTTTGGCGCCCTTTTACCTTTCTTAAGCGATTTTCGCTTTACGCCGTTTACTTGTTGCTTTCTTTGGTCGCTCTGTCTTTTTATATCAAGCCTATTTTCACTTAAAACCCTCTCTCCACTAACTTGAATTATAACAATTTCCTCCGCTTGACAAAGCTTAAACTCTGCCGGTATTGTTGCCTTACGAGTTGTTTAGAAATTGCAAAATACTGAGAATTACTGTTCAACCACATCCTTGCCAATTTGATTTCCCGCTCAAAACGTGGGTTGCAAATTATTTGCTCACGCGGCTTCACATCTAGTAGCCCACTTGAAGCCCTCTTGTAATATCTGACCGTGTGGCCCATTACACTGCATTAAAGCTTGACACTCGAGTATGCGCACTTCATTGTCATCTGCTGGTGTCTCCTGGTGCACACGAATGGGGTATTCAAGTTACGCAAGCAATCGCGCCTGCGCATCACCTTTTCTCACGCCCTTCCATTACGTAATGGCTTAGATAATGCCCACGGTACAGATGGCCGCGCACGCTAAAAGTAGCACCTTGTACGGACGCCCGTACGGTCATTAGTCCAAATTTTTTCGGCCTGATGAGTTACTACTATTTTGTATAGTTATGGGGCTACGCTGCGCACGCTGCGAGCTCCGCTATCAATGAAACTGTGCTAGTTGAAAGGGTCTACCCCAAAACTCAAAATGACAAGCTGGTTTCTGTTTTGGTTTTTCCAGGGGAGATAGACCATCCCCCCGTTTTCTTGGTTTTCACCGAGGAAATCGCTTGAGGTAAAATGTATGGAGCTCTCACTACGATGGTATTTAACCAATGACTCTGAGGGTTTGCACACATATTATTACATTCTTAGCAAATAGTTGACGCTGATATCAGTCAATTTGATTGACAGCTTGTCAATTAACAGAGGCAAATAAACGACTGTGTTTTTAGACTTTTCTATTCATCCAAATATTTGACGACTTTGAGGTCAAATTTCTTCCCTTGCCAGAAAGCTACAACACTAATCTTAACTCCCCTTTATAATCGATCATTTCATCTCTGAAAAACATCAAAAAATTCTTTGGACACTACCGTCTTTTTTGTCTTGAATGCCTTTTAAAATCGGCGACTGTGACTAGTTTCTCTCAACTACACCTGTCACGCAATTCTGGGTCTAGGCGGTCACTTTACCAAATAAACCTACATTTTCAAAATGCTCTTCATGTAGATGATTGATCAAAAAAGCTAAATTATATGAAAATATGTTGAGACTTTTTGTAGGAATGGAAAATTTCACGTTTAGAGAGATGCATGAAGGCGAAAACTCGAAGGGAAAATCGTAGCGTTTCTTTCTTCTATCGTTTATTACTTTGGAGATTTGCTAAAATCAGGAAATAGGGCTTTAGTCCGGAACAGAACATTTATTAGTCTACAATGTGGTTGTTTATTATCATTATCGCACAATTCACAATAAGGAAACTATAACAGGAGAGGAGATTTTAAATTCACATGTCTTGTGTTCGTTACAAGTTCCCGTGTGTAACAACTTCGGCTTTTCGAGACCGTGGATGAAGTTATGCGATCACACCTTAGTTTGTTGTTACTGTCATGCTGTGGCGCGCTTTTATTGGTTCATTTCGATACTCATAATTATTCTGGCTATTAGATGTTGTTCCCTCATAGGTTCCCTTTGTAACAGATCGGTGGTTGTGCTTTGTGATCATAAGCATCCATGCTTCAGGAATTTTGTTATCGCCATTGTTGTTATTAGGATGAACTCTGTTGTGGATGGCTTCTTTAACCTTACCTAGCATCGTGAGACAAACGATTACACCTTTAAAACTATAAAGCAACGATGAATAACAAAATTTTCTTTGAGAAAAAAATGCTCAGCGCAGTTACAAGAATTCCCTCTCCTGACCTCGTTGTTGCGGACAGTGAATTGATATCGCCAAAATATATCTTTTCAAAGAATACGGTTGCAAATATTATTTCAAAAAAACACAACTCAGCTTTTAAGTCTAGGATCTTGAACCTTGAAACGCTTTTCTCAGAAAAAAAATTCAAGATGAAAACCTTATCAAATAGACAATATTTATCCACCTGTAAAAATATATGATTTGAAAAGTTTTGGGAGGAAGTTTTTGTCTCTCTCGTTTAAAACACTAGCGGAACTTTCATTCATCCAATAATGTCTTTTGACTTTTGTGCGTGTAGGAAACCCTTGTGTTGTGGAATGTACCAATGGAAAAACCTGTAGAGAATTTGGAAAGCACTTTTGCCTCTATCCCAAGGGGAAAAAAGGAAAAGATTGCAAAGAAAATGGTAAGTTGAACAAAGAAAGACGAATATTTTTGACCCGTTGGTTAACGAGACGTCAATAAATTAAATCTTGAGGATGAAAAGGAGGAGGAGAACTATGAGAATGCCCCAAAAATCCAGGAATGTGAGCTCGTTACTTCCTTACTATTACCCGATAGGTCAGGATTTTACTGAAACGAAATACCAGAAACCGAATTATCAGTGTGGCATGTGGGAGCCACTTTTGTGTTCGTTACAATTTTGCTGCTTTGCTTGATATTAGGTAATGAATGTTAATATGTTGCAAGCTATATCTTCAGGATAATGAAGGTTGTACTTCCGTTTCATTTTGCTACAATAGACGCAGTGGCAATTGTTATCATGATCAGCCTTAAAATTAACAATAAAAAGTGGACAGAGGAACTTACAGACTTTTCTGACCTAGATACACAACTGTTTGTTGAAATAATAATACGTTCGGTAAGTCATTGGTGTTGTTATATTTTTGAGAAGGTGCTCATTGCTTAATTAAAAAAAAAGTCATTGAGAATCAGATATTTTCTATCCAACAGTATAATCATAGGCGCAGTATCCTAATTTGTTAGGATTTTCTCTTTTAAATACTGCAGTAAAACAGAAGGAAGAAAGTTATCTTAGTCCTCCTTTGCTCTTTATAGAAAAGCCTTCCTCGTTTTCTGTTGAAGTGCGTGTAGAGAGCAAGGTATCATTAAGTGAGGAGTCTTTTACGTACAGAGTGTAAAACATTTTCCTATGACTAAATTGTAATAAAATAGGGCAAAACATCCTTATGTCCTTTCCTATAATTATGAGCTTATCCCCACTCTCCTTTCTCTACCATACTGACTTATGATTTGGATGTCGTTGCTTTTTAGGTGGATGAAGAATTCAAAGGTTCTGGCGTCAGAGAAATCAATGTAACGCAGCTGAGGTATCATCATTCATCGATGACAAAAGCTACTTATTGTACTTTGATTTTAAAATTCTCTATTTTACTGGTTGAGATACTCTTCAAAACATTTAAGTTGAAGAAATTTTTGGATTTACTTTTCTTATCTTTTTACAGAGAGGGAAGTGTTATCGCAGACATATCGCTCACTTTTGACGAGCCTGTTGGAGAAAATGAAGTAGAATCATTGCTTCTAGATACAATTAAGGATGGAAGCCTAGGTACCCTAAAAGTAGATACCTTTTCCGTAGGATCAACTATTTCAGGTGTGTATAAACTTTCAACGACGGTAATTTGGATTGCTCCTAATGAAAATTGGGTCTGTGACCTGCGAATTTGTACTTAAGATGGATTACCAGTGTGATGGAAACTCACGGAAGTTACGCTTTTAACTTTAAGCTCGTGTGAAAAACATCTTTGTGATGTTCTTGCACAGTGGGTGTGCACCGAAAACATTATTTGATCACAAGGCCAAAGCAAACTTCAGCTACATTTTATGAGTTCTTTACCTATTATGGGTTGCCGATAAATGTGCATAGCTGTGTTTAAATCAGTTTAACTCTTATTAATTCAACTAAACAGTTAAAAAAAGGATTGCTTCTGTAAAATGTATGTCATCTATTTAAGATTTAGTTACTGTTCCTGGTCCAGTCCCATCTGAACCAGCAAAGGTGAATAAGGATGCTATTTATGGCTCAGTTATTGGGGTCCTTGCCTTTATGTTCGCTGTTGCTATTATTTTGATTGCCTGGAAACGCCGCAAACGTAAGTAGAGTGAATTACTATATTCAGTTGGTAAATGCTCTTATTCGAGATGCTACTAACCTAGATTTATGATTTGTGGACGATTGACAAAAGGAGATTCATTTGAAGAATAGAATGGAAACTGAGAAGGGGGAAGGAAAGAGGAAACTGCAAGGAGTCGGAGAACTTGCAGCATAGTAGAGTCATTTCGCAAAGTCTTTCAATTCATGACACCAATTGACGGCGTTACTCAAGACCTTGGGCAAAGTTTTTCCCAATACGGACAGATCTAGGCTGCTGAATAACATTTTAATTTTTTTTCCCTTAAACTTAAGGAAAATTCTCTCCAAAAGAACCCGAATGATTTAGGGCTGTAATTACAGCAGGATCCTCCATAAACTGAACAATTCTTGAGCGAGTAGATGGTAGTTAAAATAGAGGCGATGCAAATTAAAGAGAGACGCTTCACCGAAACATTTTCATTTGTGTAATGATAAAGGTGATTTAAAAGGCCTCCCAACAAACTTTGAAACGTTATTTCTACAACTATCTGTCTCAATCTGACACCTGTCGTTTAGAGAGCGCGCAAGAAAAAAAAAGGGCATATACAGTTTTGAAAAAACAACCAAAGTAGTTTGGCAAGGACTGTCACCACAATGATTTCTTCGAAAACAGTCAATGATCTTACGGAAAGTATTATTCACTCTCTTCGACGATTCATTCATGTACGAAGATTTACCTCTGTTAATCAAGTAAACGGTGAGGAAAGTAATTGTAAGTGAATTCAAGTTTTTTATTTGGAAATTGTGAGAGTTTGTTCGTTTGTTTACTTCAATAGCGTGTGTAAATCTGGTCTTTCCACCACAAAAACTAAATTCGAATTAGACACTTCAACGAGACACAAGGAGACTCAATGCGGCTTTTTCTCATTGAATTCCTTCACTTTCTGTTGTGCAATTTACGGTACAAATGTCCAAATTGAACGGACTTGAAAAGACTCACCGAGAGCGCATATTTGTTGTAGAACTGAAAACTTCGCACGCCCTTTTACTTCGAACAGATTGTTTGAGAGAATTCAGATATTAAATGAATGAAGGTTCCATCGATTAATTCAATTGTAACCAAATTCCTCACGTTTTAACTTTCTAGTACTTTTTGTGAGGGATTGAAATTAATTACAGACGGGCTTTAGGCCGCTTGTCAACCAGTTTAATGACTCTTTAGCTTATACAAGTTAATTTCGAAACCAATAGCTTTCTGTCAGCCAAAGCGATTTGAGGGAGAGAAAAGAGAGGATTAATGAGTTAATTATCGGCTTGAGGTAGTGACCAACGTCTTTGCTTAAAAATACTGCCCGGCCGGTAAAACAAAATAGATTTATGAAAAATGGCAACGAAGGTAAGAATGAACTCAGCGACTCACGAGAGCATTACCGTTGCCCGTGGGTAGAGATAGGAAAATACGGAATGCGCAAAGAACCAATCACATTGCCGGATTCCTTACCGTGCCCTCTGAGGATAAGATAAATAATATTATTATTACTGGAAGTACTTTCAAGAGAAGGAGCTGGAAATACATGACGCTTAATTGATGAGGACTTTTTGAATTTTAAAATAATTTAAGCAGCTTTTTTCTCTTTATCTAATGTCATCTCTTTCCTTCTTTCCACACTTCTTAGGTGAAAAAGATAATCGGTAAGATGTCATTACAATAAAAAGTTAATATAGCATCTGTAGATCAGATTGGTATTGTTTGTATTTGTAGTTCTGAGAAAAGTTTCTCAGTTGTTCTCAAAATGTGTCAGTTGATATTTCCAAAAAAAACAAAAAAAAAAACAAAAACAAAAAAACAAGAAAGGGATTTTGTTGGTGAGGTTTAGTCAGTTTCCTAGAAACTATTAGTTTTGATTTTCTTTTAGACCTAATACAGTCCTTAAGGAGTCACGTACGCCTCACGTGGTAAGTATGGGGTGCATTTTTATCGAATAATCTACTTTGTGATGATCAACAAATATCTGTTTGGCAATTAAATGCTGAAAGTTAAAGCAAAGCATGCATACCTTCAATTTTTTCAAGGCCCTTGGGACTTGAATACCGTGAATCAGTTGTATAGAAATGGTGTTACATAGGAAGTAACAAAAGGAAGATGAGTTTTTATTAGTCTATTACTTATTATACAAATTAAGTTTGGATTTCAAGGTTCATTGAAGTGCGCTTTACCAGCCTTTTGCCCTTATTTCAAGAAATTGCAGCTGTATTTACGAGTCAAATCTTCTTAGTACTGATTCACAAGTGCTCTCAGAAAAGGCGTTCAGTTTAGTGGATGACATCATAATATTCAAGAATTCTCTAAATTTTATCTCATTGTCATAAGAAAGGTTACGGTTGCGTGTGATTCTCCTTTATTCTGGTCGCAAAACGAGTGAATTAAAATGAAAAAAAAAACGCACAATTCCATAGACTGGAGAATGCACCCATTAAATTTTGCATGATACTTCCCTAAGAAATACGAGACATCTTCCTTACTCGTAGCCAATCCGTATGGGGACAAAATAGGCCAGACTAAGTGTGAATCTCTTTTCGCTGGAAAACAGAACGAGGGAATTGAACTGGAAAGTAGCAATGGGAACCTTAGCACCGTGGTGCATCATGCTCCCGGAAATTACATGGACTTGAATGAAGTTAGACCACTGAATGATCCTGCCACGGACCCAGAGCGAAGTTATTTAGAAATAAACGAATATGCACCCCTGCACCCAGGAACGCGCTCATGGGAAGTGGAAAGAGAAAATGTAACATTTGAAAAGATTATTGGAAAAGGTGCCTTTGGTCAAGTCGCCCAGGGAAAAGCTTCAAACCTTCGAGGAAGAAAGGAGACAATTACAGTTGCCATAAAAATGCTGAAAGGTACTCTATTCATTGCCTAAAGAGCGTTTTAGTTAAGATAAGGCTTTACTGTTACTGAATAGTCGTTCTTTTCTTTAGGTAACGCTACAGACATAGAGAGGAAAGATTTGCTGTCAGAGCTTGAAGTCCTGAAGAAACTAAGGCCTCATCCACACGTTATCAAGTTGCAGGGTTGTGTAACTGAATCAGGTGCAGAAAATAGAATGAAACTGCCTAGTTTATGTCTCTTTGTGTCACCCTGACAACTTAAAGCCAAAATTGCTCTGAATTCATAATTTCTTGCTCTCTCATTATACCTAATCCTGTCATTGTTGATCTTAACAGTATCAGCAAAGAGCATTTGTAGCAATTGTGCACGATAAATAATTATTTTGTTTTATCGTTACGAGTTCCGGTTCACTCGATTTAAGATTATTTATCCAGTTTACCGCAGATCCTGGGTTAAATTTAGAATGCACTTAGCACAAGTGCAAAGTTTTTCGTTTTCCCATTGCTGTAACTATCACTTCAAAGTGATAACGTAGCTGATGTTCTTTGTTGTTTTCTACATATATTTTTTAGATCCTTTGCTTGTACTTATCGAATATGTCCCGTATGGAGATCTCCTGGGCTATTTGAGAAAGAGCCGACATTTAGAAGATAACTACTTCAAGGACCCGGATATTAAGCCTCAGACGAGTTTGACTTCCCAGCAGCTAATGAAGTTTTCCTGGCAAGTGGCTGATGGTATGCATTATTTGTCCTCAAAAAATGTAAGTCGATTTTAGTATCAAAATTCCCTTTGCTGTCTCGGCGGCAATAGATGCAAGGGATACCTTTTTCATTTCAATTTCCATCCACACTTTTTTGTGCATGAAGTAAACTTGGATACAAGTGACTCAAGTTGGAACTTGTTTGATACTTAAACAAGGGAAATCTTTCCAATATGGTTGGATGGAGCTTAATAGGATAATAGAGCTTTCTGTTTGCAATGATCAAAAGCGTCCATTACATCTATCACTTTTGTTTCGTTGCAAAGAACAAAGTTTTTCCATCCGACGCTTTTGAGCAGTGCAAAATGAGTTATTGAATCAATTAATTATTCATCAATGCTCTGTATTATGTACGACAGATTATTCACCGCGACCTTGCAGCCCGGAACGTCTTGGTTGGAGAGCAAGAACGATGTAAGGTAACCGATTTTGGAATGGCAAGGGACGTATGCCAGGAAAACATCTACGAAAAGAAATCAAAGGTTTCTGATTTCGTTATCATGATATGTTGCGTGTTTGGCTAATACCGAAGTTTATTAGGATAGATATATCCTATCTCAACCTCCTCTCACCTTGTTTCTCAGTAATGTTTTACACTACATCATCGCCAGATAAACAAAAGGAAGAATCATCTGCTCTTTTTCTTCAACATTTCCTTTCCATGTTTCGATAGGGAAGACTGCCAGTAAAATGGACAGCTTGCGAAGCGCTGTTATACGGACGATATACGACGAAAAGTGATGTGTAAGTGGATCTAATAAGCCGATAAACAGTTTTAAAGAGTTAAAAAAAACCGTTCAAATCTATTCATGTTCAACCTATAATTTAATTATACCTGTACGTGTCAACTTGCAATGAAGCCTGATGGCATTTTCTTTAATTAGATGTAGTTTTGGAATTGTGCTTTACGAAATCTTCACGATAGGTATGTCAGATAATTGTGTTTCAGTGTAATTTATATAGATGGCGCACTTTTTGATCGATTCCCTGTCTTCGTGTTTAACGTCTCGTCTTAGGTGGCTCTCCATATCCAAAGATTGACGGAAGAAAAATGGCAGATTTACTGACTCAGGGTTACAGGATGCCTAAACCACGACACGTGGACGATACCCTGTAAGACCATGGACCATTAATTTTTTAATCATGAACTTGCTGTGAAAAGTTAAGAATTTTTTTTCATTACCTCTATAGCTCTTTAGCAACGAGAATGGCCTTCCAGACCTAAACAATCAAATATCAATCTATGGACCATTACTTTCTTTGACTTCCTAGGAATAAGGTCCCAACTTTCGTGCTTAGGTAGCTCTGCAGAATGTTATGAAAAAACTTTTAGTAGAATTCGTATCACCAAAATCCAAGTTTTATTTTATTTTTTTTGGTTTTATTTAGTTACAAGATTATGCAAGACTGCTGGCAAGAGAACCCAGATGATCGCCCAATTTTTGAGAATCTTAGGAATGATTTGAAGGAAATGGAAAATCAACATCAGGTGGAATATCTACAAAATAAATTTAAGCAAGGCTTAGTCACCTTTTGATTTAGAAGTCGTTTAATAGATTCTCTTTTTTATTTTCCTTACAGAGGCTCATCAACATGCAACATTATGACAACATCCTTTACGCAAGCATGGATTAGGCTCTTGTTCAAGAATTGTGGAAACAACTCTTATCATAATAGGCGGAAACCGTCTCTTCCACACACCCCAAACAATAGAAATTTTAAAACTAGATGTGTCCTGATGCTAAATCCAGTCCCTTTTATAATGCAGCTAACAACCAAGGGAAGTACCCTGCCCATAAAGCGACGTAAAAGTCGGAGTAAAGTGATCCGTTGTTGCTAATTACCATGTAGTTTAATTGGTATTTGGTATAGAAATCAAGGTGAACCATTATCTATTATATCAATATTTAGTCAATAGCTATTAGAATGATTAAATTAGGATAACTGCGCACTTTAAGCGTTGTTCAGCCCACTTTATTGAATGTTGCACTCGAAAATAAGGTTTTGGTTAAATGTTAGATGTTATTGCTGACACACTTTAGAAACTTTAGCTGAGGAAGCGCTGGAGAAATTGTTTTCGTTATTGCATTCTGTGAGCTAATGGACATTTGAAGTTTGGAATGAGCCTGCATTTTGATATATAAGCGAGTAGCTTAAATGCGTCCTTGAATAAAAACTGCAACCACAAGCGAGCAGTGTGAATTTTCCAGTAGAATACACTTTTTGGATGCTCTTTCCTGTGCCATGTTGAGAGCTTCGTAAAGTCGAAGCCGGGTTCGGAAAGAATTTACCCAACAAATGCTGGCATAATGAATGTCGTTTTACGTCGATGTTGTGGAACTCGCTGAATTTTCGGGCATCCTCGCACTCGTTTGTCTAATCCCCGATATCCGTCATGCCACGATTGCCAAGGACGCACGAGGCGATTTTTTTAAGGAATTAGGCCGATCGCCAACATTGCCATGATTCAGCAACATAGTGATCTTCACAAAACGCAATACTAGGCTTTGATAATCTCCGATATCCGACGTACCAGATTTTGGGGATTCACAAAAGTCACGGGTTAAGTCCAATGATTTTGACCTAAGCGTGCAGCTTAATCGCATATTGAGTAACTCGGTCTCTCATTTCTCGTAATGATGAGTGCGAGCGTGTCTGAGTGTTTTTACAGATACTACAATAGTACAGGCTGTTATTTGATTGATTTTGGTCAATTTTTTTTTCTGTTTTTGTTTTTGTTTTTTTTTCTGGTTTTTTGTTTCTGTTTTTTTTTTGCTTGTTTGTTTGTTTTTTTTTTCTAATAGTATTTTAACATTTTTTGCATTGCATCTTGCTTTCTCTTCAAATTTCTCCATCTACAGGGAGAAATTTGAGGAGCGGGCATTGAAATTGGCCAGGAATCCACTTCCTTTATATTAGAGATAAGTGGATGATACCATCACAATACTAAGTGCACCAGCAATGGTAACAAGAATGTTATACACGGGTTTATCCGATATCGTTTCTTTACTTTTTTTTGCACTTCTTAGATGAGAGAGTTGATCGGTAAGATGACTTTGCCATAAGTAGTCTAATGTATAAGAAAATACACGCATCTCATTTATTAAAAACAGATTTTCTTCATGTTTACAGCTGTCTGAAAATCTTTCCACTTTAAGAGAATTTTACGATGTGACTGTCATCCATTTCGTCTTGATAAAAGCGTCGCCTTAAGTATAATAGATTCGATGTTGAAACGATGCAAGAGTAACTAATTTAGGTCACATGATATCTTGTTACAAAAGGTAAGATTTACGTTCAGTGAATATCGACTCCTATGACGATTGATTGTACCTATGCTGTCCTTCAATTCCTTAGGAGCAAAAGAATCATGTTGGCCTGAAATGAAGAACGTCTACTCTGTTATAATTACGTGTAATTAATATCTGTTTGGCAATTGGTGTTTGACGTTAACCATATGTCATGCAGATAATATTTGGATACAAAGGTTTAAGTTCGCTGTGCAGGCTGTTCAAAACGACTCCCATCCAGAGTTTACTGTGTTGTATTTACAAATCAGATCACCTTGAAACTGATTCCCAAGTACGTGATTCTGGTTGAAATTTGGATGAGATTGCCTATGAAAACTCAAGCACTCTTCCTTGCCTGGAGCACTCTTCCTTCCTCGCCCTGCGAGGTAAAACGGAAGCGAGGGACCGTCTACGAAAACCTGACACTATTAAATCTATGCAACAGTACGTAACTTGATAATATTTCTGCGAAATGGCCTACGAAACCGCTAGAAGGGAAACAAACGGACTCAGCAATGCTCCCTTCGAGATTCAGCCCGCAAAGCGTCAGCGGGATGGAATTTAAAAATCCTCATGGACCGTGCTCTCGGGCCCGTTGCTCGTGTCAGCATGGGTTGAAAATTTTACTAATAGTAAATAACAAAAGTGCCGACGTGCAGGTGCATAATGAAAGCGAGTAGCAAGCAAAATCTATTCCAAAAGCTACTGTGGTTTTATACATTTTTTAATTTACTAAAATAGAAGAGCTTGAATGAAATTGAATAAATTGGAAATGGTTAAATGTGAAAGTTTACGAATAAGTATGTTGCAAACAAGCACACGAAAAAATCAGTAAGTTTTCCCGTAACACCCGGGTTAGTTTTACCCTACGGATGAGATATTGCTGCGATAGGAATTAAGCTCAGTAGAAGATGAACTGCAGATTCAGATCGCTGGCATTTGCACTTGGCTGTTGGATTATGACTCAATGCCTCTAATAATAACAATGATAATAATAATAATAATAATAATAATAATAATAATAATAATAACAACTTTATTTAAGGAGGGTAACACACAATAATTCAAATGATGAACTAGTGTCCCTCGATCCTAAAGTACCGTATTTAGAATTAAAATGTATTTGAGGATTATAAAACTGGTCAACAGGTCTATAAGAATGCAAGCTAAAAACTAGATAAAATAAAATATGCCGCTTGGGTTAGGTTAAATCGCCTTCAGACTAAAATACTCTACTTCATCGCAGCTCGTTAGAAAATGTCTATGAAAGGTCTTTCTGAAAAAAGCAACTGTTGTCGCCTCTTTTTTTAGGTTAATGGGTAGTTGGTTCCACAGCCTTGTCGCAAATACGCTAAAGGACCTCCCTCCCTCGGTTTCGCGATTGAAACGAGGGCAGGCGAGATTTAATTTATTATAACGACCAGTTCGTGTGGGTAGGTCTGCATTAAATTTGAGTAGATCGTACATATAAGCAGGACAGCTTCCTTGTTAACGCTTAAAGACTAAAGTACTCTCAATAAACATAACTTCGTCATAGAAAGGGAGCCATGCTAATTTCTTAAAGAGTTTCACGCTGTTCGACCTTGTGACAGCTTCCAACAAACTCGGGAAGCGCGTTTTTGAAGCTAGAAGACCCTCATCATGTCATCACTTGAACAGTTCGATCAAACAGTTGATCCATATAAAATTAGTTGTGTTATCATTGCGTTATAGTATTATACGGGCTGCTAAATGCGGAGGAATCTTCTTATCTTCCTAAGCACTGCTTTTCTTTGGGATAGCTTCCTACACAGTTCTTCAACGTCAATATTAAAGCTTAAGTGTCGGTCAGTGGTAAGTCCCAGGAGTTTCTGACGATCCACCTGCTCTATATTTGAGTTCCCAAGATAAAGATTTAATAAACTATCGACGATCTGATTTGTAAGGCGCTTCTCGGTCACTAAGAGACATTTCGTCTTGGCAGCGTTCGTGACCATCTTGTTGGCAGCTGATCGCTGCGAAAGGTCATTTAGGTCTTGTTGAAGGGCTGATGTGATTCAAAGAAGTCCATCTGTCACGTCGGATGAGAAACCGCATAGATGTCAACGGGAGAACGCTGAGCTGCTAAGGGTAGGTCGTTGATAAAAAGGAGAAACATAACGAGGCCCAATATACTCCCTTGTGGTACTCCAGCCATCACAGTTCTTGGGAAGGAGCGACATCCGTCAATGACTACGTACTGTTTGCTTTCACTCAGATAGTTGCGTAGTAAGTCTAGTTCGTGACCCAGAAACATTCAGTTTCGTTAGAAGGAGATCATGGTCTATGAGGTCAAATACTTTCTTGTAGTCAATAAATACTAGTCCCGTTCCTCAGTTTTTGTCTAAGTCAAGGAGAAGCTTGTCGATTAGTGGAATGAGGGCGGTCTCGGTGGAGTGGAATTTGCAGAATCCGGACTGGAGGTGATGAAACAACTAAGTCAGAATCCGTGCTAGGAAGCAACGCTGATTACCCTCGATTTAAGGTTAGGCGAACAAGAATAGAGACCCGCTTGGGCACGTCCTCGTGCATGTCCAGGTGCCGTCATTGGGGAACAAGAGCCCCCGTTGCACTACCGATAGCAAACTGGAACGTTTCCGATGATAAACCCTTTGCAGACGAATTAAATAAAGAACGGGGTATTGTAAGTTGTAGAGTAGCCTTGTTGCTACGATCTTCTGAGATTAAGCCTTTGTTATAAGATTTGTTTCTTTCCAAATTTTTTTTTTTTTTTATGATTGACCAGCCAAGAACAAAATCTCCAAGCCAACACATTCAAACAAAAAACATTTTTAAAACGGTTCTTTTTGTTTGTTTGTTTGTTGTTTTTTTTTGATAAAATTCAAATTTTAGCGTGTTTCCCTTTCTGGAGAGGGTGTTGTAGAATCGATTACAGTTTCGTGTCTGGTTAAATGTTTTCCTTTCTACAAGACAATTTCAGTTTCTTTACTTCTTCCTTAATATCTCTTCTCAGGAAGGTGTACACAAATGGATTAATCGCGGAGTTCGCTACCAACATGAGCCGACGGATCATCTGAATTATTTCAGTGTCATCGCAGAGTTTTAAAACATTTTTGCACATCGTGAAATAAGCTTCCAAGGCGTAACAGAATACAAAGAGAAATGTGACCATCAAAATCATCTTCAAAGCTCTTGATCCTTCTCGCTGATTCTCCTTTTTAGCTTTTCCTTTCGATCTGTTCTTGTGTTTTGTTTGTTCCCTTTTAGCAACGATGCTTATTCGCAGGGCAGCGAAAAGAATGAGTAAACACGGAAGAACCTCAAATATTATGACTATCACAGGAAGAAAGTACTTGAATGCTTCCCTCTTATACAGATAATAAAGGGGAGTGAAGACAACACCACGCAAAATAATAGGAAAAAGCCATGAAATCGCGATCAAAATGGCCACAATCCTGTCCGATACCTTGACTCTGTGGTACATGGGTTTGGTGATGGCGAGGTAACGGTCAGCTGTCATGGCGCACAAATTGCATACTGAGGAGTAAATGAAGATCCAGCGAAATGCTCTCATGATATTTGTTTGGCAGCAGGACCAACGATCACAAAAAAACAATGGAGGATAGAAACTTAAGGCCACTAAAGCATCCGCCACAGCAAGGGAAATGATGTACCAGTTGAGTTTACGTAAGCGAAGGTTCTTTCTGAATAGGATCAGAAATATTACGAAAGAGTTTCCAGACAACGCTGTTATGGTTAAGGTCCATGCGATAATCTCAAACAGCGCAGACATGATGCTTACGTGAGGTTTATCGCTCTCCTGATGAAGAGAAGTGCGGAATTTGCTTCAAAGGAGATACAAATATTTCTTTTGCGGTGCATGGTTATGCAAATTGAGATCGGATTTTAAAAATACATA